ATTAAAAATATTAATAATAAAAATTTTACTAATAATTAAATTTTATTATTAATTTTAATTTATAGTAAAAAATAAAATTTAATAACCAATCATTTTTTTGAATATAGGGAATTATGAGAGATAAAATTTTTTTAAATAATTAATAAAAATTAAATTTTTTATTAATTAAACCTAAACATAAACCTAAATTGAATTCAAAATTTCAAACCGAAAATTATTTACCCAAAAGACGGATTCTAGTGACAATCATTTAAAAATTAAATGAGAGATTTTTTTCACGTGGGAATAGCACGTCAAATTATTGGTTTATACTGTATAACGCTAGCTGTTGGACCCCTTGACTGGAGGCCATGTTTACAGTGATGACAGCTTTTTAATATGGATGACAGCTACAGATGGCAACGCTCCTCCGCAGGACAGGGACCCGTCCCATCCCATCTCCTTTAATGATGGGTTGGAGATTTCACAGAGATTTTCGACTGGTCAAAAATGTTCTGCGTCCACATAAGGAATGGTAAGTCCTGTAAATATATAAATTTTTTTTATTAAATATTAATTATATAAAATTTAATTATATTTTTTAATAAATAAAAAAAATTAAAATAATTTAAACAAGCTCATATATTATCCTTGCAGGCCGACAATGTCTTACTCCAATAAATATATGTTGCTATGCAGATGACAATTAATTTATTAAATTTGGTTTGAGGAAGACTGAAAATGAAATTTAATCAGTCAATTTAGGTTAGATTAAGTAAATCAATTGAGTTAAATCAATAAAAATTTAATTAATAATATATTTATAATATATAAAAATAAATTTATATTTTTTATTATATATAAATTTCTATAAATCCTATGCAGTTGAAACATTTTTTTATAAAATTTTATAAAAATATATCTTTATATTTAACTTGTAAAAAATATTTTTAAAATTTTCAATCCTCGTAAACTCCACAAAGTTCGAAGAAAATTACCATATCTAAGCACAGCTTTTACCAAGGATGACAGTGACGGGTCCTCGGAATGGTAGCCGTGAAAATTGGACACGGAGACTTTAAATACACTTCCATCTCCTCTAAAATTAATTATCAATAAGGAGAGAATTGGTTTTTTTATTAAACTCACATAACCCTCCCCCCCTTTTTTTTTTTTTTTTTTCAATACTAAATTTTCTTGCTCAACCATCTGCTTCCATATGAGTTTAATTATTTGTCTTTAAATTTAAGTGTTTAAATTTAAGATAAAGGCCTAATATTTCGATATTTGTCATGAGAACTTGACATCTTTATAAATATAT